CAGCAGGGATACTTTGGCATAATTTGCACTAAATCCCATTTTTGAGAATAGCATCCTTAAATTGTGGTTGTTCAGTTCAGCAACGGGGAATGCATCAACTTTGTCAAACGGGTCGGTGGATCGACCATCGATGCAGCAGGCAGCAACAAATGCATCCAATCGTACATCATTTGGATGGCTCCCGCCTCAAACCGATACAAATCCGTTCAGTGGTAGTCTTCCTTCCGCATCAAGCAATTCCGGTGTTCTAGATGCACATCGACAACACGGAGGTGAATTTTTTTATTATCTTCGGCTGTATACAGCATTTACATGAATGCGCTTTGAAATAGGAACTATACAAAGTAAACCATTTTCAGAAGGTGTGACGGACAGTAGGCGGGCATCGACCCCAAGTCACTCTGAAAGAGACCAGCAGTCGCAGCGGCAAGGTCGGTTTTCAATACTCAATGTTGTCAGTTGATATTCAGCAATATGAACTTGGCGTTAGCGTTGGTCAACCATGCATTCTTCTCCCTTCATGTCGTGGTGGCATTTGAAGGCGATATTTCTCATACAAAGACTTTCGGTGTACAAGTCAGTCTTTACCCTCCCAGGCTATTTGTTATCAACCTAATCGACGCCGTGAACATGAAAGACCTGGTTGAGCTCGGCGAGGTTCGGCCCGGGGTCCAGCTCCTGGATGTAGGTGATGCCACTTGTCCCGCGTACCGGTCCGGGGTCTACCGAATCACCAGTGACATTGGGCTGTTTGAACAGATCCTATAAGATTTGCCTCTGTTGTTTCTGTCATTTGCAGTTGCATGTCTAATTTTACCAATATCAGCTCCCAATTGTTCAGATTCCACGCCTTCCACGCAGCCAAATGTTCCACCTCCGCCTCCTCCGATACGTCAAGACCCACACCAAAAAGTTGAAGACGAGCATGCGCAACAACCAGTGAATGACTATTACAAGTCAACAGCGAACGGTGAGAATATTTTCTGGTTTAGTTTCATCTTTTGGATTACCCATGTAATTTGTTGTCCAGGGTGTCATGCAAATCTCGTGTTAGTGACTTCATCGGGCCTCTTGCCATATGCGAAAAAGGTGGGCGAAAAGAGAAAGGAAATCTTGCGTAAAATACGCCCTAAGTCCGCACACACCAAAATTCGCGATCTAGTCCGAACAGCTTACCAGGGAAGGTCATCAGGCCGGTCCGGCCATTTGGAATGAGCTCTATACCGTTGCACTCGCCTCGAGACGCTGAGCTCAAAACTGTCTTCCCGATCTGCTAAACGATTTTTGAACGAGTTATAAAGCAAGGAAGCGCAGCGGTAGTGCCCTGTCTTGCAGGCAAGAGGTTGTGGAACTGCTCGCAAACTCTTCAACACAGGCAACCAATAGCAAGTGTTGGTAAATTAATGAATTCAGAAGCTTTTCTGCCACATTGACATGGAGAAACGAAAAGCAGGTTCCTCGAAAACCGTTCTCACCACCTCTTGCCTGCGACAGGGCACTACCGCTGCGCTTTCTTGCTTTATAACTCCGTTTCAAAGAACCGTTTAGCAGATAGTGAAGGCAGTTTTGACTTCAGCTCACTGCAAGTGGCCGGACCGACCTGATGAGCTTCCCTGGTTAGTTGCCGCTGTCGCATGCTCCCTGTTGTTTGAATGGTGATCTCACGCCGCCATCAGGACGAGCCTCAGATCATGCGAGAGGGCTTTGCACTATGACGGTTGGCAAGTATTTCAGGCAGACGAGGGCGAGAATGGGCGTCAATGCGGTTCAGACTGTTACGCTATTTGTGGCGTGCGTGGACACGCGGCGAAACTCTTGACGCGTTCCCTAAGTCCACTTTCTGTAGTACTGCCAACTCTGAAAGTAAAACTGCATTGCCGATTTGAACTGACTGAGTGGACCGAGTTCACACCACTCAGAATTGATCGGGCTGGCGCAGCATGCAGCATGTGTTTATCGTGGGGCTCGTGTTGTGTATTTTAGGTTTGTCCGTGTGTAGACTCAGGACCAATAATATTCACATGTCTCTATTGCGAGACGTTCCATAGCAACACACTCCTTCAATATGCATCTTCGTTTGTCTAAGCTCTTGTCTTCCGTCCGTCCTTTAAAGCGTTCTTGTGTGTGGATTAGTGAACACAAAACCTCATGAATCTTGAAATTTTTCCGTGAGTTCCCTCCCAAGGCTTGTAGGGAAATGGCTCTGAAAATGCTACACTCTAGCCTACACACAGACCATCGAGCAGGTGGACGAATGCTGACCGATCCTGACTGTGTGTGTGTGTGTGGGTGTGTTTGTGTGTGTGTGTGTGTGCAAAATCGTTTGCAGTTTCGACCCGTAAAAGACGGTGAAACGGTTGGGAAGTCAGAAACTGAGCAGGCGGAAACTAGTGACGTGGGGAGCATGCAGGAACATCGAAGAGATAGTGAAGAAGAAAAAAAAAAACACCCGGCTCTGCGCCCGCCTTTTTGATTTCGCAGCCCTTCATATCTTAACATACGCCTCACAGGATTGGTTTCTGCGCGCTCCCTTGCGCGGTTCGTTTTTGTTAATAATTCACTTCCCTGATTGTTTAACTTCCTGTGCCACGCCAGTTTTATTGGAACGCTTCTTGTGACTGGCCTCACGTTTCGAATCTTTCGTCTCTTCTTCAGATCTCTGAAGATAGCTCGGAGCTTCTTATATTGAGCTACCCTACCGAGCCCTCTACCATCTAGCGTTTCCGAAGTCGGGTTGAAAAACACTCCGACTACCCACTACGATTGAGAACTCTCCGAAGGTTTCACCAGTACTGTGCAGCATTGACTCACGCCCTATTAGTAATGTTAGTTTGGGTAAATGCACCTCACTGATGTCTCATGCTGTCATATCGGCCGAAGACTCACAAAGTATTTCATACTTCAGTGAGGTCCATTTGCCCATTTTAACATGACTAACAGGGCGTGGGCTAATGCTCCGCAGTACTGGTGGGACCTTTGGTGAGCATCTTAATGAGTGATTCGGAAGTGTTTCTTGCTTGGTTGGCTAGCTTACAAGGTCAAAAAGCTTCGAGCTATCTTCAGACCACTGAAGAAGATGAAAAGGTGCAAACGCCATGCCCATCAATAAAGTTTTTAATTGTCAATCTCACAGATGAATTAAACAATGCGACCAATAATGCCGAGGTTCCAACAAATCATAACATTGAGACTAACTTTCTGATGTATTGAAATGAGCACTTCCTTGCACGTGTTTGTATGTTGATGTTTTGAAGATGAAAGCATGCTTCTCCCTCCTCCACCACCACCACCGGCATTGTCTCTGAATACGCACGGTGCACAGACGTTACAGCCGAATATGGCTCCGTCGAGTACGGCCAACGCCACAGGAGGTGATCTTTCAGAAAAAGTTTTTAGTAATGTTGTGCCTTCTATGTTATCTAGATGTAGTGCTGGAACTGAGCATACCATAGGTAGCTCATTCGAAGGTATGTTCCGCAGTAGGCAGTTGTTGCGATGTGCTGATGCGTTGAAGTAGTGTTTGAGGATCGGAGGGGCTTTTAGAGAAAGCTATGTGTCACCTTGCTTCAAAAGACCGCTCTGAAACGGCGACATTGAGCCCCAAACAATCCTCGAATTAGCGTGTTGTCCGCCCTGTCTCCTCTCTTGTCAATCCTTTCTCATAGATCGCTGGTTTTGATGGGATTACTCTGATTTGACCGTGGGCTAACATAGCGATCCTAGATCAGTCATGAAGAGCGGGGCTTAATCCAGAATGTTGTCGGGGTTTCCTGTATTTTTCCTTTTAAGGGCTGTCTCCTTTTTTTCGTTATTTGAATTCCATTACCCATATTCTGTTATCGTGGAATGTGCCTCAAGAGATACCCATTGCAAGGAAGAGAAATTCTTGCTTGCATCCTGCATTTTTCACGGTCAGCTGTTTTGATCGAGCCGGATGGTGATGGAGCTAATCTTGTCAAACAAACCTTACATTCATTACTGATTGCTCCACATAATTGTGAGGGTTTATTTTTGTAGATGCATGTCAGTCATATTGAATCTTGTTCCAGTATGCTTCCGCTGTTTTCGTTCTTGGTCCAGATGCTTCGCTGTTTTTCGTTCTTGTTTTACAATTAGCTATACTCTTGAAGTTTTTCAGATGTCAACAAGCCTCGTGTGGCGTCCACGGTGCGAGTTCCAACTAGAAGAAGTCGGCAGGATGCGTTGCTTGAAGAGAATCCATCACCACCACCCGTCAGCCGTCGGAGGGTATGCAGTTCTACGGCTTACGATGTTATCGCCTCTTTAGTATGAATTGGTTTCAGACCTCTCGCAGTCCAACTCCATTTCGACGTTCCATCGCAGGTACTTTGCTTTCTGTCAAGATCTCACAATTTATTTTATCCTTCTCTTTTTTCTTTTCGTCAAAAGGTTTGGTTCATAGCCTCCTAACTAGCAGAAATTGCAATGTAATGAACTTGGTTGAATTTGTGGTTGCACGCACGTTTCTTCTAAATTGCCTGACGAAAGTGGTGTAGATCTAATTGTTCAACGTAATTCTCTCGCAAGGTTTTTTTTTGCATTTATATGTTTTGCTCCCTTTTAGCATCGTTCTACTACTCCTAGTGATCGTCCGGACCCCGGCTGCTGGATCCCGCACACCAGCTTATGGTTCTTATCTTTTTACAATTTTGAGCTGATTTATCTCTACTGCGATGCATTTTCCTCCTATTTTCAGGAGACAGGTGTGCTGAGAGCATCCTCATCAAGCAAAAGAGTGAGCAGGTGGGATGCCACAACTTCTGTCGAGCAACAGAGGGTAAGTGTTTTGTGTGCTAAACTCCTACGAAGTAGCCTAAGCTCCTATCAAGTGCTGTTTGGTACAATATCCGCAGAATTTTGTTACATTTTGTACAATATTCATCTTCCACTAATGTCGTATAATACGAAGTGTTTAATACGAAGTTGGTGAAACTCCAGTTCGGGGGGGCCACTCCATTGCTATCTTATCCGTAGTACTAGAGAGCAGTTCTTTGGGCTATCGAACACTACGGATAAGATAATAAGTGAACGACTCATTTCGAGCGTACTTTTGATAAGGACCGGTGGATGTCCTACATTCCACACTACCTGCCCACATCCCATCCACTTTTCTGCACAGGTGATCCACCCTGGAGCTCCTGCACCCTTAGCCCTTTGCGGAGGTGTCCTTTCTCCTGGTCCAGGACCGTTCCCTTGGGTCATGGCAGGCGGAAATGTGAAAACGTTCCAGGTTTCTCACCCATTACACCAATATTTATCAGAAGTCTACTTTAAATGAGTCGATTACGTGTCGTGAGCCCTCTAATCCTTATCTTGAGTATTGGAGAAAAAATGGAGTGGCCCCCCCGAACTGGAGTTTCACCAATGCCGAATGTAAGCGCATGTTTCAGCCTGGTTCTCGAAAACCTGATGATTCCGGTGAGGTGCAAACCCACCCAGTTGGATCCGTCACGTCAGGTAACGACTTCTTTCTTGTGTACGGAATGAAAATTTTCTCAGCATTTTCTTGGATATATTTAGAAACTGGCAATGCTCGTACTGCACGAACAGTTCGAACCCCTCATATAAGAAGCAGGCAGGATGCCTTGCTTGAAGAGAACCGTCGCCCCCACCCGTTAGTCGGAGAGTATGTAATTTCTTACCATTGCAATTTTTCTTGCTACTGATAAACTAGTCATCCTCTTCAGGTTTGCCGCAGGTCCAGGACCAATTCCACAGGCATGTGTTTCGTTTTTATGCTCTTCTTTTTTATTTATTTATTTATTTGTTTATTTATTTATTTATTGCATGAAAGGTGCGCCAAAAGTGCCAGTAGTCAGCAAAAAGTCAAACTCGAACAAAGTATCCAATACTTGAAGAAGAAACCGAAAAACATTGAACAGAACGATAAGAAAATACACAACATAACATTAGTTACAAGAAATAGTCCTACCCTAATGATATACAGCGCACGCCAGCGTCGGAGCTAAGGGAGGTTGCGTCAAATGAGCTGCAAAATTAACGCAGAGACAGCTTTCATTAGCGCCTGAGGACAGACCAAAACATTTGGTTTCAAAAGAAGTTTATGTGAAGGGCTTCAGTGGGTCGATGTATAAAAATGTGAGAGCGATTTGTCACCGACCGCAACTTCCTGGGCAGGCACGGAGCGTACTCTTTGCTGAAATACTCAAACCCCCCAGGCTAAGAACCCAGACGCCAAGTGGTTGTCATCAAGTATCAACGTCATTTGTTGACCCACACTTCGAACCAGGATGTAATCAAAATGGCATCGTCCATGCTGCATGTGAACAGGATGAGTCAAAAGGTGGTATTTCTATTCACAAGGCTCCTAGACTAGCTACTAAAACATAGGGACTAGTCCTAGGTATTGCACGGTGCTTTTTTTTGTTCGTCAGTTTCTTGGACTTTATGCAAAGCCTCGCAGGATATTGAACAATGTTTGCGATTGGCAATCTTAGCTTTTCTTTCATCTTTCTGTGGCCATTAGTTTTTCTTCCAGACATATCATTTTTAGCTGGTCAGCTTCATTGCTAGATTATTTTAGGCTGGCTCCCGCCACACCCAGAGCACTAAATGAGACGCGGGCACCCTCATCCTTTACCCCCAATCCTGGTTATGAGGGACGGACACCTGCCCATCAATTCGCGGCTGCCAACGGATCTCAGACACCAAGATATGGTCTCTCTACTCAAGGAGGTGCTGTCCACATGATCGAGTGACCCACCGATACCAGCGGGCTTCACTCGCAGTTATGGCTCAGAAGTCTCAGGAGGAAACCACCTCGTCAGCTCATGGAAACCAAACGCCATACCATAATTCTGGTCGTCGAACGCCCTTTCAAGGAAATCAGACTCCCTATCACAATTCAGGTGGTAGGACGCCGGCTTATGGAAGCCAAACTCCTCACTATAATTCTTCGGTGGTTTTACGCCAGGTCAAGGAAATCGAACTCCGCATTACGATTACCGCGCTCGGACGCCGACTCCAGGGAATCAAACTCCCTATAACAATTCAGGTGCCAGGACGCCAGCGTATGGAAGTCAAACTCCGTACCATAATTCTGGTAATAGTCGCTCCCGCTTATGGTAGTCCAACCCAGTTATGGTGGTCAAACCCCATATCACAAGTATAGATTCGAACACCGCAACCAGGAGTCGACCTCCTACTGCGACGCGCTCTCGAAGCTGGTTGCGCGCCACGCCGCCGACCCGTTGCCGGCGGCGTGCTCCAACGTCCACGCCGCTCGATCCCGGTGATTCAACAGATGATGACGATGGAAGGGTGAGTTTCAAAATTTCACTCAAAGCAACACCCCCGGATCAAGTTTGTAAAGTCACAGCCGTCGATAATGGAGTTCTGGATGCGAGTCAACCAAAAATGAAAGAGCAAAGAAACAAGGATTCCCTTTGAAGCGTGGAAGGTGGGAGCTAGAAGAGTCGTACGAACTTGCCTGCTCCACGGCTCGACTTACCAGCGCGTGTATGAAGTAGCGACTACGCCGTCCATGCTGCGTGTCATGGGCCGTGTTGCGGCGTCCAATTTTAATTTTATTCGCCATACAATTCGTAGCCCTAAAAAAAAAAAAAAAAAAAAAAAAAAAAAAAAAAAAAAAAAAAAAAAAAAAAAAAAAAAAAAAAAAAAAAAAAAAAAAAAAAAAAAAAAAAAAAAAAAAAAAAAAAAAAAAAAAAAAAAAAAAAAAAAAAAAAAAAAAAAAAAAAAAAAAAAAAAAAAAAAAAAAAAAAAAAAAAAAAAAAAAAAAAAAAAAAAAAAAAAAAAAAAAAAAAAAAAAAAAAAAAAAAAAAAAAAAAAAAAACCAAAACTTCCGAATTGAGCCTGAGAGCAGCCCATCTGGGGATACTGCGTGCCTACTGTCTCTCATCACTGAATAGATTTTATTGGGCGCTCATCCGGTAAGGGGGGGGGGCATTGTGATGCAACGTCTAATAACTGCCCTCACCCCCCCCCTGAACTGGCTTCACTCCCCCTGGCTCACGGGGTCCCGTACTTCGAGAAACCTGTGCGCCAGGGGGAGTGTAGGCAGTCTAGGGGGGTGGGGGTGAGGGCAGCCACTTGATGCCCCCTTACTGGATGAGCGCCGATTTTTTTGTCACAACTTCTGCTGGGGGTGTTGCTTTATCAATCTTAATTCCATGTCATAGAAAATGCTGCAAGACTTTTGGAAGTACCGAATTCATGTTTTTCTCTTTCCTCTGTTTCTTCCCCACCGTTTTCAATTTGCTACTCTCTTTAATATGGGTTGTAATTACACATAGTGAATTACTTTTTTCGATCCACAAAATCCAAACTTCTTCGAACGTTTGACTTTGATCAGCCTCCTAGCAATTACCGTAATGTTTTAGGCTACCCCAGCACGTCATTTCAATGGGAGCGGTGACCGTTCTGGTGAGTATTTTTTTCTTCCGTTGCGGCTGAGTCGACTCGTTGATCGCTTGGGCCTTGCGTTGATCGATGGATGTCCGTTTTCCGCTAGCTAGTTAGGCATCTCTGGGACCATGCGTGGTTCCACCCGCGGTATGAAAAAAAATGGCCGGAGGTGGGCTGTACCGACTGGATGCAGAATCAAATAAACAGCCACGATGGTGAGGGTGATGATTGGAGAAAGGGAGGGAGGGAGGTCGTCATGGACACCCACCCTCCATAAACGGGTGGGGGTGGGGTTGCAAAAAGTTTGGAGGTGCGAACGTGACGGTTTGAACCTTGCGTGTCGAGCGTGCATCTTCTTCCGGAAGTAGTTAATAATATCTATGCAATATAGACTCGCAGTCGCAACTGTGGGATGGGTCGTGAGGGATCCAAGCATTCCATTCTAGGTTTTGCCCAAACCGTGCAGCTTAAGCTGTCTTATAAATTGCCGTTTGGGCTCTGCCGGAAGTGCGTCAGTTGACAAGGATCGGTTCCCAACAAGATGGAAAGCCATCAATGTCATCTTTGACAGGCCCCTCCAGTGTGGGTACCTGTGTACACAGAAAACTGTCAGATTTAAAGCGAGAAAAGGGAGCAGAACAATTCTCATCCTGATGAGAGGCGTTGAGATTGGAAAAATCCAGCTGAATTGTTTAGCAGATCTGAAGACCCACTTTACAGTACTTCATTCTTGTATTTCTTACTTTCATAAACAAAAATTCCATCAGAAGGCTATTCATCATCACGCAGAAAAATTTCCCTTGAACTCAATACGGTAGAAATGAGCTGTTTTATAACTCCACCATACTCGGGGTGTTTAGGGCTAGCGGGCAGTTGATCCATGAATTGCGCACCTCTTGCTATTCCCGTGTTGGTGTCCCTTTCTTGTGCCCTCGTCGGGGTCAACCGTGGTACGTACAGAGGGCAACTCATCGCGGGGTTTCCTAACTTGAAGAGTCGCGTCAATTAAACGTGGATTTGATGATGAAACGGCCGCTTTTTAAATGTGCAGAGGTGGTTCGTAGTTGTGGTAAAAAAAAGGACCCAGACCCGAGAAATGGGACCCATTCTTAGTCCGTTGAGTGCCGCATTGGACGAGCCAGTGACCGAGACGAGCCATATAGCTTGCATGTGTTACCCCTGATAGCCGGTACCTTGCCAACTATCATCATCCTCTGATTGATAAGGCATTAACTTGAAAAATTCAATGATACGGCCGCTCAGAATGATGCCCTCAAAAATGAAGAGCAAACGATGACCTTAATAGTAGCTGCTCCCAACAAGCTTCTGACATCACTTAGCCATTAGTCGGTGTGCCGCGTCGCGAGCCCGCCTTTCCACCAGCTGCGCATTTCCCCTTCTGCAACCTTCAACCTTATTTTGGAATGCTCCTTTACTCATAGGTGCCCTTCACTTTTGCATGTTGCCAGAATTCAGGTCATGGTGGTTATACTCCGATGAGATCTCCCTCTCAGTACGAGGATGGAACGTGTCGAACACCGCGACAAGATGATGACGAGGAGGAAAACTTGTGAGGAAAATAATTGACTCCACTTCAGTCACGGCTTAGATTTTGATGGTCAGCGTAGTGTATGATTTACAGACCTGCGTACCGCCGTAGTCAAAATGTTCCGAGCAATAATGCGAATAGGCAGTCGTCATCAAGGTAAGAAGATAAATGTCAGTATAATTTGATTGCTCTTCGTAGAGCTAACCATAAGTGTTATTTGCTACGTATTGATAGACTGCGTCATCTGAATCATTTTTCAGTAATTCCCCTTTGAACTACGCTGCGTCGCGTTCCTGTAGTGATCAGGAAAATGTTGCTCCACCATCTAATCCAACTCCACCACAGCAACCACAGCAAGTCTTCACACTACCTCCTCCTAATCCGCAGTTTCCTGCGGGTATATTTGGAATGCCACCTCCTCCCCCCATTCCTCCATGGACATATCCATTTGCACCGCCTCCGTTTACGGGTCAATTTGGTAAGTTTTCTCGATAGTATTACGTTTGACTTTCTTTTTTAATACTTTGCTTATATGCGTGGCAGTCTACTACATGTTTTTTT